TGCCCCAGGAGAATGGGACTTCCAGAGATGTCTCTTTACTGATCTGTGACATTGCAGAAAAATGGCATTTTCCAATATTTTTTGTGTAAATCCATCCAGATGACATTTTCTAAATCCATCCTCTGATGCAAAGTGTGGCTGCAGTTCCTCTTCAGAAAGATCAGGAGAAACACAGGTTTTCCAGCGATGTTTGCAGAACCTGAGCCCACCCTGAGTTCCTCCAGGGTCACTTGTGTCACCTCTGGGGCTGGTGACACAGGGCATTGAGAGGTGTGTGATGTCAGCAGGCATCAGCCCTGCAGTGTCCCTGCCAGCTGTGGGGACAGGGGTGCCCATGCACACGGTGTGAGGTCCTGCCTGGGGCAGAGGGCAGGAGCCCAGGGCGGTGCTGTGGGGAGGGATGGGTCATCCCACAGACAGGGCTTGAGCTGGGGACTTGCTGGAGACAGCCTGATTCAGAAGACTTCAGTCAAAGAGGTTTATGTTTAAGAGCTGTTGAGCTGAAAAGCTCTAAGTTAAGGAAATATTAAGTTTTGAAGCTTAACAGCTTGTGATTTTTTAAATTTTTTTTTTTTGGGGGGGAAAAGTGAAACCATAGAGGAATATAAATCCAAGGAGCAAAGCCCTCAGATTTAATGCAGTGCAAAGGCTGAGAAGTGGAATTTCCCACTGGTTTGTGTAGGGTTGTCTGCAGAGGTTGGCCTGTTCTTGCCTCCCTTCAAAAGCAGCTGTGTGATGCTTTCAGAGGGGAGCTGCCATGCTCCTGGACACTGGGACCAAGGCAGGCCCATGTCTGTGTCCCCCCTGTGCCAGACACTGGGCTGGGGGACACAGGCTGGGGCAGGCTCTAGCTGAGGGGCCCTGGGCACTGCAGAGGGGCTGGATACCCAGCAGAGCAGGGTGTTGAAGCAACCCACTGGTCTGGCCCTTAGCTTGAGATGTCCATCATTGTCAGGGATTACCCTCATTGCTCTGCTGATAAAACACTGGGATTTGTTTATGAGTACGCTGGAGCTTTTAGAGGAATCTGAGGTTTCAGTCCCCAAATCCCATTGAAAATCCAAGGGGTGTTCCAGTGGAGTAAAACCTTTATAAACTCTGAAACCCTGCCTGCTGGACAATGCCTGCCTCTCTAGGGTTTCTTTTCTCTTAGGAAGTAATGATACACATCAGAATAAGGGCTGTAGCATGCTGGGTTCTCCCTCTGCAAGGGGCCACGAGACATCCCTGTGGCTGAGAGCTGGAAGGGATGCTGCAGTTGCCTCTGTTCCCAAGAAGTCCAAGCTGTGATGGCTGAATCCAAGTCCTGACTGTTCTTCACCATGTTCCTTCTCCAAGACTGTGCCTGAATGTGGTGGAGCTGAGGCTGAAGTCCTGTCCTCCTGGACAGCTCAGGGTCATTTTGAGGTGGCTCTTCTGTCAAATGGCAGTAACTGCACAGCATCCCCTCCTTCCCTGAGTGTCCACACTATGTGGCAGAAGCATTCCTTACCTTGGGATGAAGTTGTCTTTCTGTGTGTGAACTGGATAAAGGCAGAACATGCACCCCAGTCAGTCTGAAAGTTGTCTTTCCTTTTACCAAGGCTTTCAGATTCAGAAAACGTCTTCAGCTGGATTCTCTGTAAGGAAAAGTTTGCTTATAGAACAACACAAGGCTGGAGATGCAGATAACAGGAGCAAACCACACACGGATTTGCTCACTGGCAGCAGGGCTGGGATGTAGAGCTGAACTTGGTCTTTGCACAACATCAGCCCAGGTTTTTGAGTTTAATTTAAATCTTGGTGTGCCAGATGCAGCAGGGCCAGATCCTGGCCATTCCTGCTGGCTTCTCTTTCACATTCCAAAGGGGTATCTGGGGTAGGAAGGCTTCCCATTCAAGCATGCTCTTAAGTCCTTGGCCCCATTGAATGGGCTCCATGCTCTGTGAAATGCCTGCTCCTCGTGGGACATGGACCAGTGGAGCAGGGCGAGGGAAGCTCATTTCACTGGGGGCACCTTCACTGCCCTGCAAGGGAAAGGTCAGGCTGCTCAGACTTTGATTTGAGCTGCTGAAGGGCGCTCACTAATCCAATAAGCCACCGAGGGACTGCAGGACACAGCCTTGATTCAGGCATTTGCAAGGGTGAGTGGAAGGCAGTAACCCCAGGAGCTCCCAGGGTGTCCTGCAGTGCACGCGCCTACCTGGCCCTGTCTTGGTTTATAAAGTGCTGAGAACGTCAGGCTCTCGGGAACTGCTGTGCCAGCCCTCACACCCTGGGCGTGCGGGAAGAAAAATAAACACCCTTAAAGGTTTTCCAGTGGGCAGCAGCTTCTCTGGCTAGATTTGTGCTGGTAATCTGATCACACAGGAGCCTTCAGCAGTGGAGCAACAGGTTTGGCTGTGGAGCTTTTAATATTTTTTATATATATATATATATATACACACACACATACACGCTCGTATATATTCATAACAGCATGCTGCTAAATGATATTTCTGTTTTTTCAGAGACATGTATGAGCTGCCTCTTCTCTATTCTGTGCCCCCTCTGTGTTGTTCAAGACTGGTAGTCTGAAATTCACCCAATATTGGTATTATTCTGCAGGTAACTATTTGGATATTGAAGATTTAGAGGTTTTGTCAGACTACTGAGCACAAAGGATGGATCTATTTTAAAAAGGAACTTTTGTGATTACAAATACGATAATTGAAAGAAGAAAACCCTCATGTGCCCTCTTTAAAACAACCCCTCGTGTTGCCCTGGCAGTTTTTGACATGTCCAAGTCCTTCTGGCCTGTATGAATCCAAGTCCTTGGGGTCATGGCTGTGGGGGCAGCTGTGCTACCAGCACATGGCTCCTCAGCGTGCTCTGGGCCAGCATCACCTGGGATGAGTTTTTCCATGCCTAGCTCACAGCTCTGTTGTAGCTGCTGTAATTTTACGTGCTGTTGGGGCAATTAAGATGATAAATGTTAGCAGCAGCTTTACAAATTCCTTTTTGAGCTGTTCTTCCAGCCAGGTGCAGCAGCCCTGGGCCACCTTGGGTATTGGGTAGAGCCATCAGTGGCCGTCTGTGGAGCTTTTTCTTGGAGGCAAGTGATGGAAAAGCCTGAGGAGCAGTCGAAGCTCATGCTGACAGGTGACTGTGAGGCTTTTGGAGGAGTCACTGCCCCTGGCTTTGCAGAACTCCTGTGTGCGTTGGGCAGCACATACTGGAGTTAGCAAGGTGAGGGGCTGTGGTGGCCATGACCCTGTACCTTTCCTGGGGGCTGAGCAGCACCTACTAGCATAAGATGGCACAGGCTGGGCTTCTGCCACCCAAACTGCTTCTAAGAAATGAGGTACTGGTGATGATTAGGGATATATGGAATATTTTCACATCTAAGTTAAATATTATGATCTTGTGAGTCCCCAAATTCTGAATTGTTTCAGGGTAGGCATCTCGGTGAGCTCAACTTGTAGGGCTCGGGATGGTGGCTCTGATGTTCTTGGCCATGTGTGAAAACAGCTTTCAGCTGTGGCAAGGTGCCATGGGACTGCCAGGACAGGGATGCATGGGGCCTCTGATGTTGGTGACATCAGCAATTGACAGCAGTTTGGGTTTTTGGTTTTTTTTTTTTTAACTTGCAGATCCATAAGACCAGAAGTGTGAAGTCTGTTAGATACATCACAGACATGTGTTAGTGCTGGAAATTTTGTAAGGACTTGCTTTGATCACTGCTTTAAAACTTAAGGTTTTCTGAGCCTCTTGAGCCTGAAACTATGGGCCGAAAAACCCTGTGACTTGATACCTGAAGGCTCCCCAGTGATGAACTCCAGGGATTAAAGATGTTGCTTGATTTGTGGCTGAGAGTGCCGGGGGAGCGAGCACCTCAGTCCCTGCAGAGGTGGGAGCAGCTGGGCCCGACACGCTGCGCTGATGCACGCTGTTATTTGAGTGGAGAATTTGGAAAGCTCGGAGTTCTGAGCTAGGGTTATGTTCTCACTTAATAAGGTGTTAACTGACGCTGGGTGCTCTTTGGAGAGTTCGGCTATGTGTGGAGGTTGACGGTTCCTGGCATCTTGTCTGCTATGAACGAGCTTTCAGACACGAGGAAAGAGTTACCACACGCTATCAGCGTGTGATTTTTTTTTTTTTTTTCCTAAAAAAGCAAACCTCCAAACAAACAAAAAGCCCTCCCCGAAGCTGAGGCGGAGGAAGCCTCTGGGCTTTCCCCGGGGCCGCGGGCGGTGCGGGGCGGCGGCGCGGCCGCTGGAGGGCAGGCGAGCCGTGCGGAGCGGCGGCGGCAGCGCCGCGCTGACCTCGCCGTCCGCGTCCCGCCGGGGAGCGGAGCCGGGCCCACGGAGCGGGCGGCCGCGGCTGTCCCGGCCCGCGAGGCGCCGCTCCGGGGCTGCCGGGCCCCGCTGCCGCCCGCCCGGGGCTCGAGGGCACGGGGCGCGCTCCTGCCCCGTCGGAGGTGAGGGCGCAGCGGCCTCCGGGCAGCCGCGGCCCCCGTGCCGGTGGACGGGGCAGCGGCCGCCGTGCCGGGCGCTCCGAGCCCCTCGCGTCCCGCTCTGTCGGGCCGGGCAGGGCTCGGGGCAGCCCGACCCCCTCCCTCGCTTTCTCTGTGGAAAACGCTTCCCCGGCCGGCGCTGCCCGCGGCCGGGCGGTGCCCCCTCCGCGCAGGCGGTGCCAGCCCCGCTCCGCCCGGGCGGGTCCCGCCTCCCGCTCCGCGCCCCGCGCATCGCTATGCCGCCCGCCCGGAGCGCGCAGCGCGGGGCGCCCGGCGGAGCCCGGAGCGGGGCGCGGCGGCGGCCGAGAGGCTCCATCCGCCCGGCGGGGCTGGCCCGGCCCGGGGGGACGCGGGGGGGCACTTGCTGATGATCGGAAGTTACTGACAATAAGCACCTTCATCCCCCCAAAGGCGGAGAGAGGGAGAGGAGGAGGAGGAGAGACAGGGGGAGAGGAGAGCTGATGCCTGACGAGTCACTCGGCGGAGGCAGAGCGGGCGGTACCACAACTTCCCGGCGGCGCGGAGCGGCGCGGAGCAGCGCGGCGGGGATCGGAGCTCGCCGGCCGGATCGCTCCCATGTCAGCGCGGCGGCGGGGGACTGCGCTCCGCTAGCGACCAGCCGCCGGCCAGCCCCCTCCGCGCCCAGCGATGTATTCACTGCTCTCAGCCTGCACTTGCCTGTAAGGATTATGGCATATTTCTAAATATTTTTTTAAATGTTTAAAAATATTTTAATTTTTTTTTTTTTTAACTTCTATTCTGGAGGCTCCGGTTGCATTTTCCTTGCAGCCAGGTGGTAATGGGGACCTGAGCCTTTTTATAAGCAGAGCATCGCTCTGAACCCTTTAAAAATTGCAAACAAAAACAAAGAAAAAACCAAACAAAACAAAAATCAACTTTAATCATTCTACCGTATCATTTGATCTTTTGTTGTTTTTTTTTTTCTCCTCTCCAGATGTTTACATTTCCTGCTGCTGTGCTTTCAGGTACAGGTACGTGTCCTTTCTGTCCTCTCTCGCTTTTGGTTGTAAAATAGAAACAAAGGCGGCGTGCTGACCTCGAGTGCCAGGCAGGTTTGGCTGGGGCTTTCACTTGTTTCCCTCTAGTTTTTATAGCTGTATTAAACCGAGCCCCGCACCAGATGCTGGAGTGTCACTTGCCCTGCACCGGGGCTTCCCCTGTGCTCAGCTCCCGTGCCGTGCCCCGCTGTGCTCTGCCGCCGGTGCGGGCAGGGGTGCAGCCGGTGCGCCGGTAGCCTGCCGTAGCAGCATCCTCTGGAGTGCATTAGCCTGGCTAATGATGTGAGAGGGAGTGCTGGACTCTCCTTGCACAATGTTGATTGATGCACTTGCCTTGGAAGAGCAGGCGCTCTCCTGCTCGCCCTTTTTTCCCATTTTTTTTTCCGCCCCTCTCTTTTTTTAAATTTTCTTTTTCTTTTCTTTTTTTTTCTTTTTTTTTTTCCCTCTTCGGTAACTCACTCCCAAAAACCGATGCTTTGAAAAACACAAGTTTTCCTAGCCAAGAGAAGGAGGCTGCGTGCACCCTCCCCATTATTCAGTAGAACGCCGTCCAAGTCAGCTCCAGCCTTTGATCCTGTCTCGGCAGGAATGAGGCCGCTGCAGGAACACCCTGAGCGCGGCTCTGCAGCCCAGGTGCCCCGGCTGGGGATGGATGGCAGCTGCCCCGGGGGTTTGAGCAGAGCAGGTGCCACTTGGGTGGCTCCGGCCCCTTCCCGCCGGAGCTGGGGGACACTTGTGACACCCTCGGCCCTGAGCTGTGCCTTGGCCGGGATTGCACCTGCTCAGCCTCTCCGGATCCGCAGCGGCAGCAGGGCATGGTCCTGGATGAGCACAGCCTTGGAGGGGCTCCATCCCTCTGGCCGAGCTAAAACCCGAACCGGCCCCATCCCCTGCTCTCCCACCTATCCAAAAAATGCCCGATCACATTTTTTTCCTCGTCCCCTCCAAAAAGTGCAGCTCGAACCCGACACCAGCAGAGCCTCCGCTGGTGGAGCAGCCTCCCCGGCAGGGGAGGATGCGCAGCTGGAATGACCCTGCCGCTGGAAGGTGTTTGCTCTGTCTCTCCGCTGCGGGTTTTTGCAGCCCGAGGAATCGCGGGCTGCGCAGGGCTCGCAGCGCCGGAACCCTTTGCAGCGGGGAGAGGTTTTTTTGCGCTTGTGCGGTAACTGAAGTTAATCAGCCCTCCAGCCCCCTTCCTCTCCCCCTCCCTTCGGTGCTTTTAGTGAATCAGAAAAAGTTTGGCTGGCTGCCTGGAAAGCACTTGCTAAAATCTGATCTCTTACTTCAGCAGCCTTAAAACAAAGTTATTGGCATTTATACAGTTGGAGCTTGCAGGCTTCCAAAGCAATAAAATAATAAAAAAAAAAAAAGGGAAAAAGAAGAAAGCTCTGTGCTCTGGTGCTATTAGAACCATACTTGCTACCTTTTGTGCTGATTTTGCAGCGTTTGGGGGCTGTGGGGTGGGATGGGCTCTGCGGAGGTGTCCTGGCCGGGCTGGAGAGGCGGCGGAGCCGGAGCTCGCTGGTGACACACGCACACCGAGCTCCTCCGGCGATTGGTGTGGGGAGCCAAAACATTAGATTAGTCGTACTCGAGGGCCTTCGAGTGAGTGTTTACAGTATTAATGGTAGATGAAAAGATGTGAATGCTGTAAGTTTTTATTGCCCATTTTGTTACACTTTCTTTCTGGATTTATTCATGGGATTACATGTTTTGAGCCTGAATGGGACCAAGGGATTATAGGATTTCTTTAATAATGATCAGTTTGGGTAGGAGTTAGCCTTTGGTGAACTGGAGTAAATTAATGCATCACTTAGGTTTAATATTTATTTAGTCTAAAGGAAGTTGTTTAGTTTTGCTTAAAGGGCTCTGTGTTGTATTGGGGAGATTTAAGAGTTCCTGAAGGGGATTATATTCTAAGGCTGCCTCTTGCCCTGCGTTCAAGCCATGATCTGTGGCTCGTCCTGTGTGCTGGTCTTAGAATTACTGTGCTGTGCTGCTGCCTGGTACCTGTGGCTCTGTGTGCAGAGGTAGAAATCCCCCCAGTGTGTGTGGGGCTGGAGGGATTCTGAGACAAAACACCATGGTTTGGGTATGCAGTGTGTGTTCTGGGGATCCTTTTGTACAGGGCTGTGATGCATTGACGTGTGAGCTGCTGCAGTTCTGTGCTGGGGGCTCAGCTCTGGCCAGAAGCTTTCTCAGAGACCCCAAGGCTGCCCTGCAGCCGCCAGGGGTGATGGGGCAGGTGTAGGATCTCCTGATGGGGCAGGTGTAGGATCTCCTGTGGGCAGGTTGTGGCAGCCCTGGGAAGTGTTGCCCAGCCCTGGCCACAGGGAGGTCGGAGGGTTGGCAGTTTCCAGGAGCAGGATTTAGAGCCCTGGACGAGTCGGGCTCCTCCAGGGCTTTGCCATCGTGTGACATTTGCACCAAGAAGCGCAGGGATGGACACATGGTGGGACAGAGGGTGCAGCACAGCCCTGGGAGCAGCCCTGGACTCACAGGGCTGCCTGGAGGAGAGGTCAGTCACCTTCCGCTGCGACAGCAATGCCCCTGTCTTGTCTCCTTCTCTTGCCTCTTAGGAAGTCACTCTGATGCTTGGAGTTGCTACAGTTCCAAAGCAGGGACACTGGATACCCCTGCAGACCCTGGAGACAATAATTTATTTATGCAGGTTGTTCTTAGGAATGTTCTTTCACTGATGGTTACTGAACTCTCCCTCTATGATGTCTTTAGCATTTTTCAGTTTATTCTCCTACCTTTTCACACTTCCAGGAGCAATTTCTCTTCCATGTGCTTTTTTGTTCTTTATGCCCCAGAGCGGTTTTGGGTTTCACTTTGGCTTCGGAGTCAATCTCTGCTCTACAAGCAGGTGAGAAAGCCCAGAAGCACCTTGCAGGGTTGGAGGGGATTGCCCCATGCTGTGCTGGCTCTAGCAGCACCAGTGACCCTGAGGGTAACAAATGTGGGGACATGAGATCTCAGAGGGCCCCTTTGCCAGGGCACGTGGGGGCTGGAGGCAGCTTCAGTGTAAGTTGAGCAGTAGGATCCGAGGTTCTGAGTGCTGTCCTCGATTGCAAGAGCTTCCAGCTCTTCTGTCCCTGAGCCACGTCAGGTGCATGGGCAGGCAGAGCACGGGGCAGTGCCAGCGTGGGCTGCCCTGGCTGTGCTGCAGAGCAGAGGGTGGTCCTGCCCCAGCCCCTTCCCTGCCTGATCAACCTCGCTGTGTTCTCCTACACGGAGTGCATCTGTCTTAGATTATGAAGAGGTCCCTGATAGGGCCAAATCCTTTGCTTTTATGGCTCTTGTAGGTTAAGATCCAGCTTTGGAATCTGATCCAGAAGCAAACAGGAGGTCAGAGGAATGCACAAGGCAGCACTAGGCTATTTTCACATCTGCTGGTGTTGTGTAAGAGGAAGGCTGCTGTGTGCCATGCCAATAGCAACTTGTGTTTCTCCTAAGCTCCTGTGCAGCGACAGACAGTTATTGTTTGGGACATTGTAAAGTGAGACACGGAGAAGCGTTGCTTCCACACGTTCAGCGAGCCAGATCCTGCGGTCTGGCCAAGCCACACGCAGCACATGTCAGAGGCGCGAGCAGCAGAGCAGCTCCCTCCCCTCTCCCTGCCTGCTGATCCATGGCTGTCCTCCCTGGGACAGGCAGGACGGGTGGTGAGTGCCACCAGGTAGCTCTGGGGACTGAAGCCAAAGCAGGTCCTGGTCACAAGCCGGCCAGCTTGCCTTGGCTGGCCACTCCTTCTGCGGGTGTGCAGCAGTGCCAGAGCCACAGCTGCCTGCCTGCCCTGTCCTTGCCCTGCTGGTGACAGCACCAAAGGCAGGGAGCTGCACTGCACATCACCAACAAGGTTATTCTCATGTTTCCCGTCCCTGCAGATGGGCACCTACCTGCCCTTGTACTCTCTGGGTGGCACCGTGCCTGTCCTGAGGCGGTGCCAAGGCTGCGTGTGCTGCCAGGGATGGAGCTCTGGGCATCCCCACATTGCTCCTGAAGCGCTGTGGGATGGGGCAGGTGGTGCCTCCGTGGGCTGCTCTTTCCTTGTGGTCAAGCCCTGCATGCCAAGAGTCCCTGGGGCCCAGAGCCCCCCAGGCTGGGTGATCCCGTGCCTGCTCTCCATGGTCAGCCTGGATTGGGAGCACCACGTCCTCAGCACAGCACTCCTGTGCCAGTACCTGCCTCGGCTCCATGTGGGTGGAGAAGTCATCCTGAAAAGGACAGAATATGGCAAATGTGATCTGTGCAAGGCTGGGCAGCTCTCTGTTGATTTTTCGGATTGCACCTGCCTTGATTACTAGGCAGTGAGAAGACCAGAGAAACTGTGTAAGCAAAGCCTGAGTCAATGAGCAGAGGAGCTCAGCCATGTGGAAGTGCTTGGCCCCATCATGGGCTGGAGCTGATGGGATGGGCCCTGGCTTTGGCTCTGTGCTGTGCTGGACTCCCAGTGGTGGATGCACTTCCTGATGGTATGGCTCTGCTGGCCTGCAGAGGCAGGGTCCTGTTGTACATGAGAGCATCTGTTCCAGTTGCAAATGCCCTTGCTCTCCAGGAAATAACCATGTGGCTTTCCACAAGGGATTTCTATTCCCTGCTGCTGACTCATTGCACCAGAATACGAAGTGTTGTGTCCTGAAGCTGCCCCGTGTATCCTGCTTCTGCCTCCTGAACTTTGGAGAGCTTGGGCTTGTGGAGGAAGAGGAGACACCTTGGAGCAGGGAAGCTGAGTGGCAGTGGGCTGGTGCTTGGGCTGGTGTGTGCTGGGCTCCTGTGGGAGGGGTGAGACTCAGCCTAGCTCAGGTGAGCGTAGCTGTGGGTCTTGCTCCTCACAGATGGGGATGTGCAGCCTGTGCCCCACCAGCTGCCTGCCCTGGGCACACCACGCCTTTGCTTCTCACTGAAGCTCCCCAGCCCTTCAAAGTGCTGGGACGGGGTCTCTGCCACAAAGACCCCTCAAAGACATT